TTCTTCGTTATTAGTATATATATAACAAAATAAATAAATACAAAAAAAACACGAAGAAAATTAAGAAAAACAATAAGTTTCATTTATTGCTATTATAAAATAAAAGATATAATCTTTTCATCAACCCACACGATTATATCCGCAAAAAAGAGTGCTTTCTAATATTGTATCAATGTAGCCAAAGCAAAATATATTAATACAATAGTGTGAGGAGCACTCAAAGTGTACTTATTGTGTTCCATTTTATTTGTTGTAATTTTAGTAAAAAAAATTTGGGTACTCCTCACACTATTGTATAAATATATTTTGCTTTGGCTATATTGATACAATATCAGAAAGCACTCTTTTTTGCGGATATAATCGTGTGGGCTGATGAAAAGATTATATCTTTTATTTTCCGGATTTTTTTTTTTAAAAAATTCCTTTTTTTTCCCAGTTGTTTGTTTTTTTTTTTTCAATTATTATTTTTCTTTTCCCCCCTTTTTTCATATATCTGCAATTTTCCTTTGTTTTATCTTCATTTCGAACTGTGTAATAACGTTTTATTACATTTATGTGTAATAACGTGGTAGTAACATTTATGTGTAATAACGTGGTTCATAACAATATCTGGCATTATTTTTAAATTGTAGAAATTTAATGAATTTTTAGAACTTTTCATAATTAATTTCTTGCTCGAAAAATAGGTCAAAATGTGCTCAGTGCTGTACTGAAGAATAAACTTGTATTGTTAAATCTGTTACGAATATCATGAAAGAACTAACATTCTTTGTCATTGAATTTATCTTGTGTTGCTGTTTTTTTAATCATTTCGATTTTCTTGGCCATAGATGGCGCCACTGGAAAACAAGAACAATCGCACTCCCTCTGCCTAAACAGGCATACGTCAACTACAGCAATCCTTTCGATTCAGATGCAGTCGGTGCGGTGAGCATTACCGAGTCACAGTCAGTGTGTTCAAATCTTATTTCAGGCATAAATGCTGTTTGGTTTTTCCTTTCTTTGCATTCAGTACTTTTTTTTTCTAAAGTATTGAATATCAGTAGTATTCTGAGAATGGATATGGTGCTTGCAATCTTCTCCATAGTTTATAGTTTATCAATTCACGGAAACAAATTTACGAACAATAGTACCGTTCGCAAATTTACTGCAACCTTATTATGATGCGAAAATGAACCATATTATTTGGAAAATTCTTCCTAAGTTAGAATATGACTCACTTAGAGCGAAAACCTGACAGTATGGTTCGAAGAAATGATTTTATGGTTCAACGTAGAAACGATTTTTCTGAGAGTTTTCTTGCTGCTTAACTTCATATACCACTTGACATTCCTGTGACTAATTAAATAGTAAACATCAGGCCACCACCATACAAAATTTTGCTTAAATTACTTATTATTAAAGTTAAACATAGGCATTGGAGAACATATGTTGAATTTTTCCTTGTTTGCTTTGAAGCAAATGTCTGGTTAATATTAAGCAACCTAAATCTCATTTTTTAATACATTGATGTAAAGCGAATAATTTCTTTTCTTTAACAAGTTATGGTTTAATCAAATTTACTCCAAATTGTTTCCTCTTGTCCTTTTTATTTAGTTTTTTGCTGAATTATTTATCTTATTTTCTATTAGCTTTTAAGTTTCAGAATAATTAATCAGAAGTTCAATTTTCTACTTAATTATAGCTTCATTAACTTGAAAATCTGTTTAGAGGATGGTAATCTAATAGAATCTCAAAAATTGAGTAGGGGAAAAGTTTGGAACTATAATTCGGAAGGGTTACAATAAAAAGAGAATCGTGAATGCAATACCACTACATTTGCTTTGATATGTTTAAATAATTTTTTTTAAAACGAGCGTGCTAAGGTTTGAATTTAGAGGATTGAAAATAATGACAAATATAAGAATAAAACAAATATGTTTAGAGGCAAGCTATAAAAATCAATCACAGAAGTTGAAGGGAAATATAATTAAAGACAAATAATTGATATTGTAAGCCGATAGGTGCATAACTATTTGCACTAACATAACTATTCACACTTACATAACTATTTTACAATATAATTATTTCACTAACAGTTATTTGCACTTAGAGTTCACAGTTCACGATCACAGATTCTAAGAGATACTCATCTATAATTTTCAATCAAAATTTGTTTCACTGTAAAAGATTAACGACCAACGTTCCTATGAGCTTTTTTTTTTCAGAAATATAAGGACTGGTAATGCTATTATTTCACTCTTGCACTTTATCTTGGAGAAATTCGTGTTCTGCAAAATCTGCATGGTATTAGGTAATTAAGATATCTTAAAACAAAAGTGGTATCAAACATAGATTAGTCTTAAACATAAATATTTTCCATCACTTTTTTCGTGAAGTGATTTTTACGTCGAAGCAAAATTTTATATCTTCACAACAGTAGTCTTATCATGAGGTAAGGATCAAGGTGTAATCAAGGATCAAGGTGTAATTTATAAAATATGCACTTTTGATATTGAAGCACTATTTGTATCTGTAGTGATTGAGTTATAATTGAAAAAAGGGGAATAAATCATATTAAAAGATACGAAAAAAGTAACAAACCAATCACTTGATCTCCTGGCCTGTATGAGTCTGTTGACTGTATTAAAGTGTAAGGCGAGAGATGGGCTGGTTGTGGTCTGTTCTGCCCGTGTTTGGGAAGCATAGCTTCACATGCTTTGCTCGGTGCTCCTGTCGGCCAACCGGCTATAAAGGGCAGGCACAAGAGAAACACAGACAGAGAAGCTTTGAACATATTGGCTCTGAAAACTGTAATAGAAAATTTTGTGTAGTTACACATATCTAAGAATGAAAAGGAAATAGAGTTAAAAACGCATCCTTTTCAACAAAAAAAACCATCAGCTTTTACATTTACGTAAATGTTAAAACTACATTACTATAAAAATATTAATCATGGTTTACAAAATATAATACATCTCTCCGATAGCAAAGCTCCATGAGCTTGTTAAGATTTATTCTTAAATTTGTCGCCTGAGCCGATTCTTTCTTCCCTGCCAAATTCAAAATATTAGAACAATTAATTTATAATTTCGTCACTTATTTTATTTGTTTTTTACAGACTTCAAATTTAATGAGTCAAATATGCAAATTTCGCAGCGTTTTTAAGCATTAGAGTGATGAAACTCAAGTATAAATTCAACAATTTATTTTTATATATTATAAGAATAAAAATATAAAAAATCATATCGAAATATTATTTCATTTGACATAAAATATCAGAATATTTCTTTTTGTACATTATAATTCTATAATAAGTTTAGAAAAAAATTACTAAATATTTTGAAGAATCGCCTTCAGCTTGAATTGAATTTTAGTATTTTGTAGCATAGTTGAATTTTAGAATTTATAATGAAATATTCTAATATTTAGATTTTTTCAAAAATAAATTAATTTATGCTTTGGTTAGATTTTTTAAATGTCTAAAAAATCTGAAATGTGTAGTTACAAATCGTTAAATTTGTAACTTAATTTAAGTAAGTAAGAAACAAATAAAATAAACTTATTAATGCCGAGTTTTTTAGTTATTCTGATATTTTTAATCAGAGATTTAAATTACGTGTATTATTTGACTAAATGGTTTTAGAATAAAAATTTGTAAACACACTGTGACTTCATAATTATTTTGTACATGAATTACAAAAATAAAAGCATAGATTTTATAAATCTAATTTTTTTTACAATATTTGAATACTATTGTACGGATGCTGAATTGTCTAAAAAACTATTCAATTTCAGACAAATAAATACGACACTTGCTCTATCATAAAGAAAAAAAAGCTAATGACGTCATTGATTATTAATGAATTAAATATATCTAGCCACTTGAAACATTATTTTAGAAAGAGGAAATATATCCGAACTTGCTTACAGACAACGAAAAGAAAAAACATTTATGATTACACCTGCCATTCTTAAAATTCGTTAGTTGAAAAAAAAAGGAAAAGAAAAAGAGGCCAGACGATAATTTTAACTATTGAGGAACGGGGAAAGGCTTAAAACTGACAAAGCATGTCAAGACCTCACGCATTAACTTCTCTTAGACAAATTGTTTGAACAAAATAAATCGTTTTTAATTCTATAAAAAAAAACTGAATAAGATTGCTTGCACTTTTTTCATTATTACTACTTACAAAAGCATTCAAATTAAATTGTGCTCGCACATTTAAAAATACTTTACTATTCTTTTCTATGAAATCATCAAAAACCCTTATTTGAGTCTATGATACGACTGACTTCTGATTAATCATTTCTGAGACGGGTATAAGATTTAAAACTTCTAACATCCATACAAAGAAAGTAGATAATTTTCTTGACTAAATAACTTAACATGAAAGAATAGGATTCGATTTTAAACATTTTAAATAGGATGATATAAAATCTTTTTTTTAATCCCCATCCAATTTTTATCATGCAGAAACATTATAACGTGTTTTATTTCATATTGGATGACCAGGTCATCGACAGTAACTAAGATTAGAATTATAAATTTAAAAGATTAAATTTAAAAAAAACATTTTTACGACTATATTTAAAATTCTGAAATAATTTACAGATAAAGCATAGTACAGCAACAAGCACAGCACCCAATTATAAAAATACTTTAACACTTTCAATGCAAGCCTAAGTCCAACCCTCTGCACTTAGAGTTCTCCCGTAGCACTAAATTTGAAACAAAACGCTATTTCCTTTAAAGCTTGTTTATTTTACTTTAAAAAATAACCAATTGCAATTAATAACTATATTCAATAATACAACAATAGAGCACAGCAAATATTTCTGGAAGACGAGTTATCTTGTTCGTCACGAAAAAAAAAAAAGTTAAAAATAATTTAAGTCATCCGTTAAAACAACCAACTAATGGAAACTATTAACTATCTTGAAGAAACAAATCGAACTATCTTTAAAAAATATTTGACATAATTCTTCATCAAAGAAAAGAAAAAAAGCAAATACAGTACAGAACCCGTTATCCGGAAATCAGAAAACCGGAAAACCAAAAAACCGGAACGAAATTCGAGAAATTTTCCCGTCATTTTTTTAAAAAATATTTTTTTTCCTCATAAGATTTTAGGATTTTTCTTTCTTTTTTGAAAGATGTTTNGATGAATAAAGAAGTATTTAATTAAATTAATTAATGTAATTAAAGTAAGAAAATATCAATTAAATTTTAAGTAAACTCAATCATTTGACCTCCCAACCCCCCTCCCTCTTCTGTTCATAAACGAGTTCGCCTGCCTTAAGGATCCGTTTATTACGAGCACTCGGATTTAACGAGTACAATGTTGCGGTCCCTTTGTGCTCGTTATAAACGAGTTCGACTGTAATCAATTGCAATCAGTAACTATATTCAATAATGCAACAATGGAGCACAGCAAATATTTCTGGAAGACGAGTTATCTTGTCAGCCACGAAAAAGAAAAAAAGTTAAAAAATAATTTATGTCCTCCGTTATAACAATCAACTAATGGAAACTATTAACTATCTTGAAGAAACAAATCGAACTATCTTTACAAAATATTTGACATAATTCTTCATCAAAAAAAAAAGCAAATATATTGATTTTCTGTCGAAGGACGATGCCTTTTCCACATTTTAGACAAGGGATAAAGCGTGAAGATTATTTTTCTCATTTGGTATATGTTTGATTATCATTCTTCATCCAAAAATTAAAATAGGAAGACTTTGAGGCAATATAATGATAAGCCACATTTTCGAATCGTTCAAAAGGGCATTTGTGGTGAAAAACACTCCAGAGTGTACGCAATAAGTTGTTTCTTTGTTTTGACTTGTTACATTATGATAATTCCAGAAACGTATAAAGTCTTTATCTGAAAACAATGCTAAAGAGTTTGATGCAAAACAATATGAAAAATAATGGCTTTTCAATATATTGTTTCAAACCTTTGACGTGTAATAGAGGGGGAGAATAGGTTAAGCGAACTACCTTGATTCTATTGTCATTAGCGCTATTTTCCCGTTCCATTAGTCTACTAGTGCGTCTTAAAAATTGAGATGAAACCGAAGCTACTGAGAGTTTATCAAAATTACGGCTTATATCTATGTAAGTGAACTTTTTATTTTGGCATAGCTCAAAATTTGGAACTCAAAATGCGTGTTGAAGAAAATAGACAAATCATGTGATTCAATTTTTCGACTTTCTCTTATGAAAACAGTTTTTTTTTTTTTTTTTTTTTTTATGTATAAACTCTAATGGGTGCAAATAAATTCTTATTTTGAAATCTTAATCACTGAGTCTAAATCACTTTGTTCATTTCTTTTGCACCAGTCTTTTTCAAAAGACTTTAAAAACCAATAGTTATTTTTACAAGATTGTCATGGGTCTTATAATTTAATCATAGTGATATTATATTGACATTGCTTAGGTTTTCAAAAACCATTTCATGTTTTAGTAGTATGACTATGAAGAGATAACCTGGAAAGTTACATCTTTGTGCTATTGTACTTTATCGCATAATGATTATGCTTAGTGTTTAAAAAAAGTTCATGTCATAGTTCAAAAGTTCATAGTGTTTAAAAAAGTTTTCATTTCAAATATGTACTCAGTAACGCCTCACTAGGAAAAGTAAGTACGTAATTCCCCGATTAGTTGTTCAATTTGGGTTGAACAGTGAAAATGAGCATTTTTTGTTATGTCCATTTTCTAAAGCACGCCTTTTGATTGTGTTCATTTTTTTAAACACGTATTTTTTAATGGATGGTAAACCGTTTAAATCTAACCATAGATGGCTCCAGTTTTTGTTATAAAACTTCTGGGTTACTAGTTCCGATTTATGTTAAAGCCTAAACTTAAAAAATAAGTCTTTCTATATTATTATTGTACTGTTTGCAACATAACCTGTGCTATTTACCATTCAACTTGTAAATCCATTTAGCTGAAAACAGAACCGAAATTAACACTCACAACATGCCATGATCCTATTAAAGGCTCAAGCCTCCTTACCCTATGACTTACTTAAGCCCTCTTATGAATTACAAGATAAAGAAAAATCTTAAAAATACTATGAATTGCAAAATCACGTGCAAATCTAAATGCAATCTTAATACAAACCTCCTTGAAGCCTGTTCGCATATCGTCCCGTAAACATAATGTAAGCACAGTTTTCCTGTTTTAAAATATTATTGCTTATACTCAGTTAACCACCTATAGTCACTGCAGATATTAAAATATATATTTTTTCACAAAACTCCTTACGGGATTACTCAAGATTTAAATATTATTATGTAGTCAATCAGACGAGAAAATACAGGGCAGTAAATTGGAATAAGTTGAAGTAGTAAGTGGCCATGAACCTGAAGGCAAGCCTGAGCATCTTCATACAAAAATTCAAACAAAACTTTTCCAGAAAGAAGTTTTTGTCTTAAATTTACGAATTCTTCAAATAATATTAGTGTATTTCGATCATGCTATGCAATTCAACCATTATAAAGAAAAATAGCTTAATAAATTTTCAGATGTTTATCGTTTTTCCAAGAAATGTATGGTCGTGAAAAAGATTTTATCTTTGTCAAACTAGTTCCATAGTTATTATTTAGCGGAGTATTTTCATGAGTCATTAGATAAGATTTCGTGATTTTCTGTCAGCACTTGGCTTTGAAGAAGAATACAAACTGCCATTAATGATAGTTGTCGCCAAAGCAATTATCGAGGTTAAATAGGTTAAGTTAAGCAAAACCTGTTGCAAAAGATTTCTTTATTAGTTGTTTGATTTGAAGTATGACGGTGAAATTAAATGTTTCCAAGGGCGGTTTTAAGCTTCATCGAATTCTTTATGGTAATCGTGATTAAATGCTGTTTTTAGAAGATTTAAGTTAAGCCTTTAGCTTAGTATATTCACTGTGATGAATACCCTGACAAATCTCTTAAATGACAGTTTTATCTTACTGATCGTCTTTTAAAATTACCTTTACAATCTCGGTTGATGAAATACTGAACTTTCTTATTCAGTTCGGCATATTTATCTCCTGTATTTAGACGCAATTTAATGAAGTTAAGGGTATAATTGAGAAGACTCAAACTCATAAAATAGGTAGAAAAATAATAACTCTTGATTTCCATGCACATTGAAACGGGGAACAGTCATATAAGTAGGGTTATCAGAAGGTCTTGTAAAATTTTTAGATGCTTATCTTCATCTCCAAAAATTTGTATTAAAGCAACTCGTAAAATCGTACTTTTGAATATCGTGTTGTCAGTCAAATCGTCTTTGGAAACACTTCTCTCGAAATCAAAAAAACCTTAAATGTTAAAATATAGTAATAAAATATAAAGTAACAAACTACCCCAGCGGAAAAAAATCACCTTCATTTGTCTAAATAATTACTTACTAAGGTCGAACTAGGAGCCCAGGGAAGCACACTTAAATAACAGGCCTTTTTAAAAAATGAAGTATTTGTGATTTCACGGAAAAACTTGTTTTGATTTGGATATTCAGGAATTTGGTACACAAAATCTGGTTTGGTTTCCTTAACAAGTTAAATTTTTTATTTCATTTTCAAATTCTTTCTTCACTCAGTGAATGTCGTATTCTAGAAAATTGGATTTTTTGGAACGACTTATATAATCACTTCTGTTAGTCCATTGCTGAATCTCTAAAATACCTAACAAGTAACTAGTGTGTAGAGAGTTCTGTTCTATAATTCTTAAATACAAAGTTAAAATGAAGACTGGAATATTTTTCCTTAAATAGTGATTTCAATCTGATTCATTCTATAACCTGCTATAACAGTTAATTCATAATTATAAGAATGAAACAAATTACAATAAAACATGTTTCTAAAACTGTGTTAGGTTTTTTTTAAATATACTTTTTTTAAAAATTTAAATGCATATGGAGTTCTAGGGTGACGCTTTATAAGAGAACCCACCATAATAGTTGGAGTCCAGGGGGGAGAGCGATAGTAATTTCATGTCTATGACCAGTTCAACCCTTGCTACTCGAGATAGAACTCGATCCTTTATTTTTCCAACTATATTGTAGCTTTTTCATACTTAAATAAAATTAATTCAATTATTGTAAAATTAAGAGAAATATTTAGCTAGTTAGCATTCCCCACAATCGTTTCTTAACACTAAGAACTTGTGTCTGGATGCAAAGTCATATTTCGAGTTTGCAATTCCTGAGTAAAATTTAGTAATAGAAATTTTCAAACATTTCAAATTATTTCAAAGAAAATTCCCCTATAATTCGTTAAGGAGCACTTTTGGTCAATAGCTGATATAAATTCGTCATTTAACATGTAATTCGATCCTCAAAGAATGATTAATTTTGACCCATCATGATAATGAATTTCATTCTAATTCTGTCTCATTCCAGTTCCAATCCTTTCATGTGTACGAGATCAGAAGGAAATAAATCTGCATTTTCTTAGGAGGAACGCTCTGTCGGTTAACCCGACGACAATAGTACTCCCAATTATAATATTTCCACAGCTGAGGATACTTTATGGCAGCACTATGGAATTCTCAGAAATGGAATTCTTGGTCAGGACCTGCTGTGTCGAACCTAAAATCCTTATCACCTTAATAAAGATTCTCTTATTAACCATAATAAAAAGTTTTATTGACTTCAATCAGTGGCTATTCGTACACAAAGTTATTCAAATTTCCTAAAAGTGTTAAAATTAATTTTTAAATTTTGCACACATTTATTCAGTTTTTCTAGATGAATAAAGTTAGATCTTACTTTCGTTTTTAACATTTTAAAAATCGGAAACAATTCCAGTTATTGAACGGCTTACTTAAGAATGTTTCCTTCCCCTTTTTTACTTTAGCATATTATTATTATTACTTTGTAATAAAATAAGGCAGTGTATGAAATAAGTTTTTTTTTTGTATCAACTTATTTTAGAGTAATGTTTCGTTGAAAGTAATTTAAGTTGAGTAATTAAGTAGTTAGGTAAAGTAAGTTGAATTTAAAAACTAATTTTCCAACATTTCTTACAAAAAATTTCAATGCGATTTTTCTACATTTTCAAGTTTTACGGGAAATGTTTTTCGTACCTAAATACTTTTGATTAAAGAGCTTGAAGCAATATAATGCCGAGCTACACAATAAGATATTTCTGTGCATTATACCGTTCTCTATTGATAGATACTTTATAAGTCTCAGAAGTTTGTAAAGTATCTAACTGGAAACAATTCTACTGAATGATTTAATGCAAAAATATCAACTTTCAAAAATATGCCGATTATACCTTTATTATCCAAAGCTTTTAAACTCCTTTCGACTGACAAAACAATTTTTTACCATTATACTATTGTTTAAAATGGCAGCTCAAAACAATTTCAAATCCTTAAAATGTATATTTCCTTAGAATAAGATATGAATAATAATATTTGTTTAAAAAGAATTCGATGAAGGGGAAATATTCACAATAGCAACTAATACAATACAATTTATGCGATAGAAATCCGGAATGCTTGACATGAGCATCAAACTCTTAAAATTATACAAGTTTTTAAAAAAATAGTAAATGAACTTACCTGATTAGGAAATTTTAGTTTCACTTGAACTTTTAGAAAACACAGTAACTTAAAAATTAAAAGGAAAACTTCAGCAGGCTATCTTATGGTTGATGATAAATATAATTGTTTTACGCGTATAACCTTCGATGTTTAACGATGCGTCTTTTAGAACGTTTGTTGGCTAAGTCTAAATTACGTTGTAGTCAAAGTGCTAATTGATCGAGAAAGATGGAAGATTTTCCCTCAAACCATACTGTCCGCAGTGTTACACTCCTCCCTTACTGAAGAAATCTTAAAAAACCTCAAGGTTTTTTCACCCATTCGATAGGTTCATGACAAACAATTATAACACATATATCACGCTAAACAAAAAGAATAAATACTAAATTGGTCTTACAATCTAAAACTGGATGTTTTCTGTCCTTTGGAAAAACTAACTTAGGTCATTTGTATTGAAAGCTATTAAGAATAGAGGCTAACACAGTTAATTAAAGGGACCTACAAGACTGTTTGGCAACCTGAAAGTCGATTTGCTTGGCTGGAAAAAAATAAAGTAATATAAAAGGTTTAAAACAACTTTCTAAAAGAAGACAAATCATTTGTCATGCTTTTGTTTAACTTTCGTTTCTCTTCGAAGCAATTACATATTCCTCTGCGTGCATTCTCAGGAAAGTCGACCTCACCCTCATTTCAAATAAACAATAACAAAAAGAAGGTAGGAGGATTAACTGATACGGAGACACAAAAAAGAAGCTTAATTAATATTTCTGGACAAAAAGAACATTGGGAGAAGAACGTAAATAATATTTTAAGTGTCCTCTTTCCATCTTCGATTTAAGGTTATATTAT